TCCTCCAAGTGCTGGGATTTAAGGCATGGGCCACAATACCCAATTCTATTTATTATTTTTCTTTATGCTCATCAACTTGTGTGTGTTTGTGTGTACATGTGCTACATCAGGGTAGAGGACAAATTGGCAGAGTTGGTTGGCTCCTTCCACCATATAGGTCCCTGGAATTGAACCCAGGTTTTCCGGCTTGGTGGCAAGTGCCTTAACCTCTGAGCCATCTCTCTAGCCCCCTACCGTATTATTAACTTGGGTTGTTGTTTTGAGACAGGGTCTTGTTGCTTAGCTCAAGATAACCTGGAACTTGCTATGCAAACCAGGCTAGTCTCGAACTTAGAATCCTCCTGCTTCAGCCTTTAAGTACTGGGATAACAGGTGTGTATCACCAATTCTAGATATGTCCTAAATTAAAATATACTATTTAGCTGGGCTGTGGTAGTGCACACTTTAAGTCCCAGCACTCGGGAGGCAGACGCAGGTGGATTTCTGTGAGTTTGAATCCAGCCTGGTCTACAGAGTGAGTTCCAGGGCAAGCCAGAGCTATACAAAGAAACCATGTCTTGAAAAACAAAAAACGTGTGTGTGTGTGTGTGTGTGTGTGTGTGTGTGTGTGTATGTTAGAGAGAGAGAGAGATAAATATACCATTTACTTTGTGTTTGAATTTCTCATAACTAAGGAAACTGAGGCTTAGTGCTTTTCTCAGGGTTATTTTTAGACCATCCTTTACACTTGTGGATCCAGTTTTATTTTCTCCATTTTGTTTGTTTTTAAGATGAATCTCATGGAGCCCAGGATGGCCTTGAGCCCCATGTCAATAAGAATGACTTTAACTTCTTATCCTCCTGCTTCTATTTCCTAAGTACTGTGATTGCAAGTGTGCTCCATCATCCTAGACCAAAACCTTTTTCTTTTTTTTTTTTCTTTGTGTAGCCCAGGAAGTCACTCTGTAGACCAGGTTAACCTCAAAAGGAGAGATCCACCTGCCTCTGCCTTTACAAAGCTGAGACTAAAGGTGTGTGCCACCGGACCTGGCTCTAATATTTTTACCATAAATCTTGGGCTGTCATTGTCCTTCATATATGTACTATCTATTAGTGTACCAAAGTACTCCAGAACCTAGTAGTTTAAGATTAATATTAATAATTTCACAGTTTCTGTAGTTTAGCAGTCTATGAAAAGTTCAACTGGATATTTTTAGCATAAGACCTCTCATGGGTCTACAGTTTGTTTATTTTTGACTGATTCTCATATATCCCAGGCTGGCATTTGCTGTGGAGTTAAGGATGACCTTGAGCTTCTGATCTCAAAGTTATACTCTCAGCAATTTTTTTGTGATAAAGAACAAAGGAAAGATATATAAATAGTGGGTGTATATATATGTGTGTGTGTATATATACACACATGTACATATATATTCTTTGATATATAAATATATAAATAAATATATGTGTATATATATGTGTATATATATGTGTATATATGGAGAGAGAGAGAGAGAGAGAGAGAGAGAGAGAGAGAGAAAGAGAGAGAGAGAGAGAGAGAGGACAGACAGACAGACAGACCATGTTGGCAGGACCTCAGGGGAAGTTCCATCTGACATAGTCCATAAAGAAACTTTATAAGTTTTCTGTATGTGGATGAGAAAGGAAAGGGGATCAGGTAGGAGATCAGCTTCTGGATTTTAGCAGTTTCAAAATACGTTGTGTTTGAAGAATAGTCTATAATTCTGGAAACATTGAGAATAGTATATAGAGGAAATGTTAAGAATAGAAAGATTTTATGAGAGAACATAGATGGTGGAAGAGTTAAAGGTGGGAATAGCTTGATTAGGATTGTGTGTTTACAACTGTAGAGTTAAAAGTATGCATCTGTCCACCCAATCCTCTACCTGACTTACCGTGGATGTTCTCTACCCACCCTAACCTGTAGTCCTAACTTACCGTGGATGTTCTCTACCCACCCTAACCTGTAGTCCTAACTTACCGTGGACGTTCTCTACCCACCCTAACCTGTAGTCCTAACTTACCGTGGACGTTCTCTACCCACCCTAACCTGTAGTCCTAACTTACCGTGGATGTTCTCTACCCACCCTAACCTGTAGTCCTAACTTACCGTGGATGTTCTCTACCCACCCTAACCTGTAGTCCTAACTTACCGTGGACGTTCTCTACCCACCCTAACCTGTAGTCCTAACTTACCGTGGACGTTCTCTACCCACCCTAACCTGTAGTCCTAACTTACCGTGGATGTTCTCTACCCACCCTAACCTGTAGTCCTAACTTACCGTGGATGTTCTCTACCCACCCTAACCTGTAGTCCCTAACTTACCGTGGATGTTCTCTATCCACCCTAACCTGTAGTCCCTAACTTACCGTGGACGTTCTGTACCCACCACTAACTTTGTCCAGAACGTTTCTGTATTGTTTTCTTCTCCGCTTGCTCTGAGGCTGACTGTTCTGAGGGTGCGAAGATGGTGCAGATGAAGAGAAGGTCCCAGCCTCAGGCTGAATTCACTTTCTCCAAGCCGGTGCCCATGGATATGTTCCAGATTTTCCTTCTCTCTACTTCCATTTCCTTTTCCAGTTTTGGTATCTGGAGCATCAAGTCCTTTTTAGGTGAACCTCTCTGCTCCCAGCTGGGCAGCAGGCCAGGCTGCTGCTCCCTTCTCATTATGTGCAGCCTCTCAGCAGCATGGAGCAGAGAGAGGGACTGAAAGCAGATGAATTCCTACCATTTCAGCTAAGTTTATCATCCTCATGGTGAATATGAAAAAACATGGAGTACAGAAAGACTTAGCACCCAGAGCCAGAATCTGGGTCAGAAGTGAGACAAGTTTCTTTTCTGTCTGAGCACTGTAGGAACAGCAGTGGCAGGAAAGGTGTCTTCAAGGGGAAAGGAGTCTTGCCGGAGGCACAAGCAGAGGAACCCCCAAGCCTAACTAACATTCATTTCTGTTCTTCTTGATTCTTGTTGCCATCCTTGTAGTTACCACGGGGTTTGAGACTGAGGAGAGATGAATTCAGGAAAATAAACCTTCTTAACTCACTCTTATGTGGAAAACTTAAGCCCACCATGTTTCTTTTTTTGAGACAGGGCCTACAAAAGATGCAGTAGAAAGGGAAAGTTAGGAGAAGGCAGGGCTGTCTTTTCTTAGACTAGGAACCACTATGTGCATGCGAGAAACACCCCAAGAAGCAGTAAATTTGGAATCTTTTGCCAGTATATATTTTTAAGGATGTAACAGTTATTAAATTTGTTTTTGTTTTTTTTTTCTCTTTTTTAGACAGTCTTGCAACGTAACCTAGGCTGGTCTCAAACCATCCAGCCTCCTACCTCAGCGTCCTGAGTCTTTGGCACTTGGCACTTGTTAAATTTTTCTTAATACTTGGTAACTGAGTCACTGTAAGCGCAAGGCTAACAGTGTACCTGTTGGGTGCCTGTGAGACAGCAAGAGAGCCTTTAGGAGTGCTGTATGTAGTCTTCAAGTGAGCGGCACACATTCGGGCTGTAAGAAGTATCTCAGCACTGCTCTGTAGTGTCCACAGCAGTGAGGGTGTATGCTTATCCAGGCTAGCCCACATGAGAGGTACCAGCATATAGTCATGACCATGGTGCATCTGAGTGGTCGCTTACAGGCAGCACCCAGCCATCCTTGTTGGCTGCAGCAGCATCAACAGCTGTGAACTAATCACTCAATTTTATGGAGATATTGATAGGTTTTATAGATTGGCCAAGGCAAATCATGGCTCAAATGAAGCTATTATTTAACAGATTGTTGCAGAATATTTGTTTAACTAGGCAAAGATGTGTTATATTAGTTTATACTGCATTTGTTTAACCATGTACAAATGTTACATTTGCATTAATTAAATTAACCTGGGCTCACAGAGGTGGGCTTAGCAACTAGTTAGCAGGAAGTAGCAGGGAGGAGCTTAGCATGGGAATTTTAGTTGGGGCGGTATGGAAGGAGAGAGGCTTCCTGGATTGAGTAAAGAGAGAGTTAGCCAGTTGCTTCTCTAACTCTGAGCTCGCAGGTGTTCACCCTAGCCTTTGATTCTTAGGTTTTATTAGAATAGAGATTTGGTTAAAGCTACCTAAAGGGCTAGCTAAAGTGGCAGCAACAGACTTATTGGGGGAGCAGAACCCCCCAGGTTGGGCTGCTAGCCGTTTAAAGCATGGTCTCTGAAGGGGAAACAGCAGTGGATGGCACCCTCATAAAGGAGACCGTGTTACCATTTCCAAAAAATGAGGAAATGAATCCGGGCAGTGGTGGCCCATGCCTTTAATGCCAGCACTTGGGAGGCAGAGGCAGGAGGATCTTTGTGAGTTCAAGGCCAGCCTGGTCTCACAAGCCCCCAACCAAATCAAACTAAACAACAACAAAAAGTAAAAACCAATGAAGAAAATGGTTGGAAACTGGAAGAATGGTTTATTTGGAATTTGTATCACTTGGTAGTTAGTCTCAGTACTGGTTAGATTTTTTTCTTTTATGATAACAAGTTTTTTAAATTTGTTGATGTGTATGCTGATGTGTTATTTTATATTTCTCTGCTAAATATATGTGGGTATGTATGCATTGTGGTGAAATGAAAATCAGCAGACAGTTTTAGGGAGTTGCTTCTACCTTGTTGAGGCAGAATCTCTCATTTCCATTGTACTGTGTACTTCAGGCCTACTGGCTCACAAGGATCTGGATAATTCTGTCTTTACCCCATAGCAGCTGGCTGTAGGAGTATTTGGGATTACAGATGTGCGGCATTGCTAGCTGTAGGAGTGTTGGGATTACAGATGTGCAGCATTGCTTTCCTGCTTTCTCTTCATGGTTCAGGGCTAGACCTCAGCTTACCAGGCTGCTTGGAAAGTGCTCTTGCTGCTGAGCTGTCTTACTGCCCTGAAATTTTGTTGTTTTGAGACTGAAGTCTTGCAATGTAGCTTTGGATGGCCTAATACTTTCTTTTTAAAATATTTATTTTATGTGTCTGTGTGTGTGTGCATGTTTCACCTGCAGGTATGTGCATATACTGCCCAAGAAGGCCAGAAGGGGGCATTGGACCCCTTGGAACTAGAGTTATTGACATGGTTGCTGGGAATTGAACCTGAATCCTCTGGAAGAGCAGCCAGTGCGCTTAACTGCTGAAACATCTCTCCCGTCCCACGCCTCGTATTTTCTATGTAGTCCTTGTTGGCCGTGTTCTCTTGTCAATCCTCCTCCGGGCTCGGATTACCAGCATATGCCACCACACCTGCTTTAAATTCAGTTTACATATTAAGTAAACATACTTTAGTGTTTGCCTTTGATGTGCTGTTAGGCACTTCAATTCCTCTCGCTGGGTCTCTTTGGCTCTTACCTCTCAGAAGGAGTTTGGTAGTGTTCTGTTTCTTTCCAGAGAATAGAGACCCTTAGTTCAGTTTATTCAGTGTTGTCCTCTTTAAGCCCTTGCTGCCTTTTAATCCATGACTGTCCTTTCAGCACCGCAACTCCCCTAAGACACAGCCATTGTGACCTGGAGCACGAGTGTGAGCTTCCCTAAGAGACAGTCATTGTGACCTGGAGCACGAGTGTGAGCTTCCCTAAGAGACAGTCATTGTGACCTGGAGCATGAGTGTGAACTCCCCTAAGAGACAGTCATTGTGACCTGGAGCACAAGTGTGAGCTTCCCTAAGAGACAGTCATTGTGACCTGGAGCACGAGTGTGAACTCCCCTAAGAGACAGTCATTGTGACCTGGAGCACGAGTGTGAGCTTCCCTAAGAGACAGTCATTGTGACCTGGAGCACGAGTGTGAACTCCCCTAAGAGACAGTCATTGTGACCTGGAGCACGAGTGTGAGCTTCCCTAAGAGACAGTCATTGTGACCTGGAGCACGAGTGTGAACTCCCCTAAGAGACAGTCATTGTGACCTGGAGCACGAGTGTGAGCTTCCCTAAGAGACAGTCATTGTGACCTGGAGCACGAGTGTGAACTCCCCTAAGAGACAGTCATTGTGACCTGGAGCACGAGTGTGAGCTTCCCTAAGAGACAGTCATTGTGACCTGGAGCACGAGTGTGAACTCCCCTAAGAGACAGTCATTGTGACCTGGAGCACGAGTGTGAGCTTCCCTAAGAGACAGTCATTGTGACCTGGAGCACGAGTGTGAACTCCCCTAAGAGACAGTCATTGTGACCTGGAGCATGAGTGTGAGCTTCCCTAAGAGACAGCCATTGTGACCCAGTAGCCAGCTGTGCCATGTGGAGGCTTTTGAAACAGTGTTCTTCAAAGGGTTGCTGGGAATCTAAAGGAGATGCTAGGTGCTTCCTGCAATGGATGAGGTCACCTCTAGAGCAGAGGAGTGGAGTACAGAAAGTTAGGAGTTCTACACTGAAACAAAATTAATTTTGAGATTTCCAGAAACATCTGGGGTAGAATGTGGCCCTACCCAAGGTTCTACACAGGCCTTAATCCTGTTTTAGAATTATCTGTGCCAGTAACCTCTTGCTTCTCAGCTGGGGTGAGGTTTTAACCAGAATCTGTTTGAGGAGTTGGTTTTCCTGTCCATGTCCCTATAATTTTTCCTGTATTTTTTCCCAGCCTCATCCCTTAGCTACATATCAAGTTCAAGGCTAGCCTGGTCTACATGAGACCCTATTTCAACAAAATAAAACAGGCTGAGGATAGTTTGATAGAATACTTGCTTAGCATGCATAAAGCCCTGGGTTTTGTTTTGAATACCCCATAAAAACTGTAATACCAGTGCTTGGGAGGTGGAGACAGGAGGATCAGGAGTAGATCCGCTGGTGCATGCCATTAATGGCCAGCCTGGTCAACAGAGTAAGTCCAGGACAGCCAGGACTGCACAGAGAAACCCTGTCTCATAAAGTCAAAAAATAACAACAGCCCTCCCCCGAAACAAAAAACATATATATGTGTGTATCTGAATATATATATGTATATATATGTGTGTGTATGTATGTATACATACATACATACATACATACATATGTATGAAAACAAAATCAGCCTAGGGGTGCAGGGAGCAAACACAAATTCACTCTTAGTTCCACCAAACAAGTACTTGGTTGTGTTTCAGCAGCTACAAGTGGTCGATAGTCCCGTTCCTGGACCATTCAGTTATGTGTGTCACAACAACACGATGTTTTTTTTTTTTTTAAAGATTTTATTTATTATATATACAATACAGTATTCTGCCTCCATGTCAGAAGAGGGCACCATATCTCATTATATGATGGTTGTGAGCCACCATGTGGTTGCTGGGAATTGAACTCAAGACCTCTGGAAGAGCAGTCAGTGTCCTTAACCTCTGAGCCATCTCTCCAGCCCAACAACACGATGTTTTATGTTGCTTTATTTTGAGATAGGATCTTCTGTAGCACAAGTTGGTCTCAAATTTACCATTGTAAGTAAAGATGATCTTTAATTCTTGGGTTTTTTTTTTTTTTTTTTTTTTTTTTTGAGACGGGGTTTCTCTGTGTAGCTCTGGTTGTCCTGGAACTCACTCTGTAGACCAGGCTGGCCTCAAACTCACCGAGATCCACCTGCCTCTGCCCCCTGAGTGCTGGAATAAAGGCGTGCGCCACCACCGCCCATCTTATTTATTCATATTTTGAGACAGTTTCACCTAGCCCATGCTCACCTGGAACTTCCTGTGTCACCAAGGATGACCTTGATCTTCTGCTTCTCCTGCCTGCACCTGGCATGAGTCGCCAGGCCTGCCTTCAGAATTGGTGTTCCTCTTAATCTATGTTATACAATAATGGGTTTCATTATGATGCCTCCATACGTGTATTTAATGTATAACAATCATATTCACTCCCCTCTCGCCCTTTCTCTCCCGCTAATCTTCTCAGCCATCCCCTTCTAATTTTGAGTCTTATGTATCTGATTAAATTACATAATTTGTTGCTGTGCAAAATTCTCTGAAGAGTAACCTGAGGAAGGTCATTTGACTTACAGTTCCAGGCATAGGCTGTCATGGTGAGGAAGGCAGGGCAGCAGGAGCTTGATGCTCCACGCTCATCATCACACTCACAGACAGGAAAACATGAATTTTAGTGCTCAGCTCCCTTTCTCCACTTGCAGCAGCCTGTGGACTGGTGCAGCCCGCCGTTAAATACTCCACCCCCAATTACGCTAACCGGATATCTCTCACAGGCTCACCTGCTCTAGCTGATCCCTCACAGGCTTGTAGTGCCTGGAACCTTGCCTCCTAGCTGACTCCAGATCTTGTTGGCAGTCGTACTAGCTACCAAAGCATCCAGAGTTCCGTTGGGGTTGTTTGTGTGGGTGACTGTTTGCAGGAGGACGGACACAGCCATCACAGGAGATGTCTCTCGTCAGCTTCAGATACATCCTGGGGAGGAGAGCTTCCCCATAAGCCCCTCTCCCCAAACTGGTTTTTTAAACTCAACTTAAATACTTACTTCTATTTACGAGTGTTGGTGTGGGTATCTTCATGTGTGAGTGCATTTAGATGCCAGAAAGTGTCAGATCCTGGAACTGGAGTTGCACGCAGCTGTAAGCTACTCTGTGTGGGTACAAGGACTGAATTAAGGTCCTTTGGAAGAACAGCAAGCCTTGTTACTAATATTCCTTAAAAACGGCGGCGGGGCGGTGTGGGTGTGTGGACAAACACGGGATAGACGGCACGCAAAGGAAGAGACAGACACGCAGCTCCCACGTGGGTGCGTTTAATGGGGAGAGGGGAACACGATAAGGGCGGGGCGTGCAAGACACACAAGGGGGAAAAGGAAAAAAAAAAGGGACAAAAAGAGGGAAACCTCGTGGACCTTCGCTTTTAACGGGGGGCGCAAGGTTATCTGGGAGTGATGGTCTTCACCTGGGCGCGCCAGCGCGCCCAGGTGAAGGGAAGTCTGGGAGCTGTAGTTTCCAAGGAATAACAGTTACCTGCTGAGCCATCTCTTTAGTCCTGATTTTAAATGTAAATACAAACTAGGTTAGTTACAAGTTAAATTTCTTTAAAACTGAATTTGAACTTGAGGCTTAATATCTTTCATTTTTTACATCTGTGCATTCCTTTCTTAATTTTTTTGATTAAAAATTATTTTTTTTTATTTTTTGAGACAGGGTTTCTCTGTAGTTTTTGGTGCCTGTCCTGGAACTAGCTCTTGTAGACCAGGCTGGCCTCGAACTCACAGAGATCCACCTGCCTCTGCCTCCCGAGTGCTGGGATTAAAGGCATGCGCCACCACCGCCCGGCTAAAAATTATTTTTATGTGTATGGTTTTGTAGTAAGAGCTGCGGGGCTGCATTCCTGCCACCCAGCTCCTGGCCGCCTGGCTAGCTTATGCCCCCAAAATAATGACACACAAACTGTATTCATATAAACACTGCTTGGCCCATTTCTACTAATGTGTGTAGCACCACGAGGTGCGCTTACCAGGAAGATTCTAGCCTACGTCCATCCTGGGTCGGGACTTCATTGCGTCTGCCCTGGAGAGCAGCGGCATGGCGTCTGAGCTCACTTCCTCTTCCTCCCAACTTCTGTTTACTCCACCCACCTATGTTCTAACCTATCAGGCCAAGCAGTTTCTTTATTAATTAACCAATGACCTTCCTCCATCAGTATGGGTGTTTTGTCTGCATGTACACTTGTACCACGTGCATGCCTGGTATCCAGAAAGGTTAGAAGATACTGGGGTCCCCTGGAACTGGAGTTACAGACAGTAGTGAACTGCCATTGCTAGGAATTGAACCCAGGTCCTCTGGAAGAGCCATCTCTAGCTCCTTCGGAAAAAAATATTTAAAACGTTTATTTATTTTCTTTGTGTGACCCCTTTCCTGTGTGTGTGAGTACTTGCTGTGAAGTTGTTTCTCTCGATCTGCCATGTGGGACCCATTGATCAAACCTGTTTGCCAGACTAGGCAGCAAGGGCCTATACTGATAAGAGTGCCATGGCACTGCTTCCCCCAGGTCCCCTTTCCTGTTTTGAGTCAGGGTGTCCCTATGGAGCCCAAGTAGTCTAAGCCAGTTGAATGCTGGGATTACAGGAATTCACCACCATGCCCAGACGCATGCTATGTTTGCTGTCATTGGAATAATTGTGATGTCTCTTTCCTTCCTGAAAGGAAGGATACTCGAGGGAAATGCTAACAGTGGTCCCTCATTCTAGGCCTCTTAAGTAGTTGTAGCCCAGTGGGTAGCACCAATTGTGTGTGTGTGTGTGTGTGTGTGTGTGTGTGTGTGTGACAGACTGACAGACAGAAAATTTGGCCGGCTTATTTCCTTTTTGTGGTATGTGTATATATTTGCCTTCAGTCTTAGTGCCCGTAGCAGAGGTTGCCTCCCCAAAGAAGAACACTGGTGGGCTACGCAGGCTCAGAGCTCACCCGATTGTCTTCTTCCTGCAGGCGCTGTGTCCAGGTCGTGCACAAACTGCTGTGTTACCAGAAGAAGTGTAGAGTTCGCCTGCACTATACCTGGCGGGAACTCTGGTCAGGTAACGCTCCTCCTTGAGCTTGTTCTCTTTCCCTGTGCTTCGTATGAGCTTGCGCTCACACTACTAGACTTTTATTCCGGTGCTGTTAGGACGATTCTCTTTCACTCACACTATTTATTTTTAACATTTTGCCTTGTGGGAGCTGGAGAGATGGCTCAGTGGTTAAGAGCATTGCCTGCTCTTCCAAAGGTCCTGAGTTCAATTCCCAGCAACCACATGGTGGCTTACAACCATCTGTAATAAGGTCTGGTGCCCTCTTCTGGCCTGCAGGCATACACACAGATAGACTATTGTATACATAATAAATAAATATTAAAAAAATTTTTATAAAAAAAAAAAACATTTTGCCTTGCTTGAATCTAGACTTCAAATGCTATGTGGTCCACACTTTCTTTCCTGTTCCTTCTCATTCTCTGTACTTTTTTTTTGTCAGCCTTTGATGGTTTCTTGAGTTTTAGGGCTAAAGATGTACCTGGTAGAGTACAAGCATAAGAGTCTGGATTTGATCCCTAGCACTGAGAAAAAAAGGAAAAAAACTCTAAGGAGAGGATATAATTTGTTAGCCAGGCATAATGGCACAAACCTGTAATCAGCAGTGGAGGAAAAGCAAATAGATGTCTCTGAGATCAAGGCCAGCCTGGGATACATAGTGAATTCCAGGTCATTCAGTGCTGTGTAGTGAGACCCTTAAAAAACAAAACCAAACAAACAAAAATGTCTTGAATCTCAAAGATTCTGGCTTTGTGTAGCAGCGAGGAGTCAGTGCAAACTTGGATTCGCATCCACTTCCATTTGGTAGCAGCATATGGACTATAGGGAACAACTGTGTGTTTCCTCAAGATGAGTAATCTCAGGAGGAATGGCATTAGGAGGTGGTGGGGATGGGGCGGGGAGATGGGGGAAGCTCTGCTCTTTTGTTACATCTGGCATTATTACTGTTTACAGACTGTGTAGATGGCACCACTCCCCCTGGGCCAGAGACAAAACAGAAAATTACAATGTTTACTTTTGTCTTTATATCTATTTGGTAACCCAGTAAAGTCACTGCCGCCCTGCATGCAGGGAGTGTCTCTTCTCTAAGGGCACAATTAATGTTAGCTTGCCATCCTTTTTTTTGTGTGACTAAATTGGAGGTTTTGGGAAAGCAAAAATTGTTCTCTGAGGCAGTTGCTTGCTGATAGGTCCTGTGGCTTTTGTGACCCGAGGCTATAATAGTTTTCTCTCAATGATTACAGATGAGTGGCTGCCCCACCCGCTGGGTGCTCCTCTGTATTCTGAACTGAGGAGAGTAGTTAGTGTCAGGGGCTCTGTAAGAAACAGGCCAGGAGCCCAGCCCCTTCTATGGAATTTATCTCCCTGTTGTGACATGTGGTTTCCTCCCAGCCTAATTGCCTTTCTAAATTTAGTCCTCCATAATGGGAAGTAGAGATCTTTAATTAATGGATTAGCAGCAGTTACTGTGTGTGTGGTGGTGGAAGGGAGGGGAAGAGAGTCACACTAACAGGGCAGCAGCGGCCACTGTAGTTGGAGCTTTAGGAGAGAGTTTGGAATTAAGGGCATGTCAGAAGAGATTGGAAGGGATCAAACTGATGAGTTAAGTTTTCTGCATGTGTGCATGCATGTGTATTTTGTTTGACACTGGGTCTTGCTATGTAGCCCAGGCTGTCCTTGGCCTCAGCCTCCCAAATGGCTAGACTTGTAGGCATGCACCACCCACACTTGTTGAGTAAGCTGAATATAATTTTTTTTTTTTTCGAGGCAAGGTTTCTCTGTAGCTTTGAATCCTATCCTGGAACTAGCTGTCGTAGACCAGGCTGGCCTCGAACTCACAGAGATCCACCTGCCTCTGCCTCCCAATTGCTGGGGTTAAAGGAGCCACCACTGCCCAGCTAAATTTTTTATAACAGAAAAGACTCTTATTATTTTATGTAGATAATAATATAATTATAAAGCTCCGAAAGCTAGCATGTTAAAGAAAATGCAAAACAGTGCAAATTTGTGTACTTGGTTCAGTTGTAGGACGTAAGCAGCAGTGGTTAGTGTCTGTCTGAGATGGAGTTGCATGCAGTGTTGAGCAATTCTCTGGCTGCAGTTGTCCTCTGCTTCTGGTTCTCGTCTACTTTTACTTCCTTCTCTTTCTTGATCATTCTCTCCTTGCCCTCCATATCCTCCTCGTTCCGGGCCCTTTTTACTACTCAGTGTCCTGTGTCTGTCTGTCTTCTGTTTTCCTCAGGTTTCTCAGGCTTCCGGTTGTTTTCCTATTTACATTTCATAGTTCCTGTCACCTTTTTATTTATTCATTCTTTTATTTATTTATTATTGGTTTTTCGTGACAGGGTTTCTCTATGTAGTCCTAGCTATCCTAAAACTCGTTCTATAGGTCAGGCTGATCTTGAATTCAGAACTCTGTTGTTAATTCCACTGAACAAGGGCAAAAGCTGTTACCCAAATTCTTTTACTAAAATTAAGCAAGCTTTATTTTCTGTCAGACAGGGCTGTCTCCCTGAAAGAGTAGTATCACACATAGGAGAAGGTGGATTTATAGCCCCCCAAAACTATAAGACTAGGGGATTTCCAAGGGTTCAGTGAATTTTTGGTTATGTAGGAACTTGGTTGAACATCTCAAGCTTCTTTGTCAGAACATCTTATTTTATAAGGGTGGAGATCAGGGTATAGGCTTTGGAACATGTCAATTTCCAGAAAATTGGTCAAGACCTGGTCAAATTTAAGTTTTGCAGAAAACAGGGATGAACTTATTTCAACTTTGTAAAAAGATGGCTTCTAATCTTAAAATGGAGTCAGGCTGGTCCATCACTGCCACCTCTGCCTCCCAAGTGCTGACGTTGATTGAGTATGCAACTATACCTGGCATTTTGCCACTCTAGTTAGTAACTTATGAAGAAAAGAACAATTGTTTATCCTCTGTTGATTGGTGACTTCATGACTTTGAGAACTTCTGTCATGTTCAGCTCCGTGATCACTTGCTATCTTGGTTTGTGTTCTGCGGTCCTTGGTGTATTAGACAGAGGTTGTAGGAGACTCATTAGTGAGGCCTTGACACCTGCTTGTTCCTAAGGAGTGGATGCTTGTGTTCACGGAGTGAGGGCTAGCTTCCTTCCTTTCTTTTGTAAAGGTCACATTCATTTAGTTACTTTCTGTTGCTGCACATCACCAGCGCTTGATAAGAAGATAAGAGGACAACTTACTAGAATCAGTTATCACCTTCCACTGTGGGGGACCCAGCCGTAGAACTCAGGTTGTCAGGCTTGGCGTCAAGCGCTTTTACCCTCTGGGCCCTCCTTTTCTTTTAGTGACCAAGTGAGCTCTCCTTTAACTGTGGTTCTGTGTGTTCATACATGGAGTATACAGTGAGATGAAAGAGCGGCAGGTGTTAAGGAAAGCTGCAAAATACAACGCTCCATCCAGTGCAGTGAGGGAGCCCATAATAATGTATAATGTTGCATTCAGTGGATACAAGTGTGGCTGTGCTGGAGTCGCCCACTCCTTGGCTGGCGCTACCCCTCATATGTTGGAATGCCCATGTTTTCATTCTCTTTTTGCCTTCTAGGTTTATGGATTTGAGGGAGGAGTGAGAAACTCATCATGGCAAATATACCAGTGTAGAAAATGCTTGCCCATATATGTGTTGTGAATTATAAATGAATTTATTTATAGAAAAGAGTGTAAGGCACGTAAGGTTCGACTGAACAACCAGAAACCCTTGAGCTTATAGAAGACACTCAGGTAGGGTCCAGGCGCCTTCATGTTTGGAATGTGGGTGTTCAGCGTCCTTGTACTTCTTGAGTGCTGATTTTTATTTCTGGGGTTGTATTTGTTCTGGGGAAAAATTGCCAGAAGTATTCAAAATTCCTGAAATGAGCCGGGCGGTGGTGGCGCACGCCTTTAATCTCAGCACTCGGGAGGCAGAGGCAGGCGGATCTCTGTGAGTTCTAGGCCAGCCTGGTCTACAAGAGCTAGTTCCAGGACAGGAACCAGAAAGCTACGGAGAAACCCTGTCTCGAAAAATCAAAAAAAAAAAAAAATTCCTGAAATGAATTTAGCTAAAAAATGCTAGAGAGGAAAAGCCAACTGTATGTTTTAGCTAGAGGCTGAATCCCACTTGGTCCTTTTCCTGCTCTACGTACACAGCCCTGACCCCCTTCCTGCTGCCACTTATTTGTACAGTGGCTGTTGCCATGGCATCTGAGCATGTAGGAGGATGTTCTGAGCTCATTTCAGTTGGAATATGGAAGAAGGAAGTCCTGGGTTTGCTTTGCCTTTCTTCTTAGGAACTGTCATTTTCCCCCAAGATACAGTTTGGGGACTCTCTTCTGACTTTCAGATACCAGTCTCTGCAAAAGCTTACCTGAAATTCCCCTCTAAGGACAGAAAGTGAGGTTTGGAGATCCGATCCTAATGAGACAGTTCTTTCTCTTTGAAGAATGAAAGTAGGGCCCTGCATATCCAGAGCGCGTCTGTCCGTTTGTGTAGACGTATGCTCCATGCAGTTTAGGGAGTGTCTGAGCCCTGCGAGGCTCTTCCTGCTCACAGATGGACAAAGTCACTACCCTTACTTTATGTTCCATAGCCTCCCAGTTATTTTGTCACAGAATATTCTAGTGTCTAGTTAAGCTTTTTTTTTTCTTCTTTTTTTTTTCCTGATGCATACTTTTAGCAGCATCATCTCTCTGATTTTTTTTTTTTAAAGGGCCGCACTTTGTAGAGCTGGCTGGCCTGGAACTCACTATGTAGTTTGCCTCACATAAGTTTGCCTCTGGCTCCTGAGTACTGACTGGGATTAGAGGTATATACCACAACACTCAGCTTCTCTCTGAACTTATTGAGGCTACAGATAATATTTTTTTTAATATTTTTATGGCTTATTTAACTTTATTTTATGTGCATTGGTGTGAAGTGTCAGATCCCCTGGAACTGATCTTCAGACAGTTGTGAGCTGCCATATGGGTGCTGGGAATGGAACCCAGGTCCTCTGGAAGAGC